CGCAGGGCCCCAAAGCATCCCAGCCTCCATCCACGGGAGAGGCCATGTTGGCTCCATATCCCGCTGCCAGCTCTCACGTGCTGTGTTCTTACAGCCAAGACTTGGGCAACCAGCTATTTGCAGGGCAATCACGGACTTCTTTCAAGAAAAACAAGCACATTTGTCACCTTTCTGCTCGGGCTGGAAAGCTGGAAAGGCCAAGTACTAGAAGCTAAAAAAATGGAAAAGGACAGCAAAAATAGGTCCTGGGTTTCACTGAAAAAAGCCCTCAGCATCAACATTTTTGAGCTGATCTTGTGATTTCAAGGACCTGACTCAGATTTTGTTACGTTTGTGGAGCTGGTGATATTAGCACTTCTCAGGCGTATTCCAAGAATTGACTAACACCTATAATTGGGCTGAGGAAGAAAAATAAAGAGCTGACGGTCCTTCAGCAGAAACCAGTAATGCTCAACTTTGTTTTATTGCCAAAGCAAAAATAAAAAATAAATAATAAAAAAAAAAAGATTCAAATGAAATGTTCTCGGGTGATCTATTTAAGCACTGCAGAAGTGAAATCTCGACCCTGCTACAAGTTGGTGGCAGAATTTCCATTGGTTTGACCAAGGCCAAATTCAGATAAACTCACATGTTTCAGAGTGAATCAGAGAGACACTCACAAATCCAGTGAATATGCTTGCAAATGTATTTCCCCTTCCAAAATATCTGCTGAGGCATAATTTCTCTGCCAGCTACTAAATTTACCACTATGTAAAAAGGTACAGGACATGTAAAAGCTGAAGCTACAGAACCATTCCTTCTGTGCTCCATGTGAAACAGAGAGCACCTTTCCATCCACCCTGCAGTGCTCAGTATGTCATCAAGTGAACAATTTCTGTCTTCATAAAGAACAGTACGAATTGCCCCGAACAGCAAGCTGCACAGATTACCTTGCTCCTGCTCTTGCCATTTTCCCTCTCTCTCATCTATTGCTCAAGATACCAAAAAGAAACATGAAGATAACACAGCATGCAAATTACATTCTACAAAAGCCCGGCCAAGAGCCTGCTTTAAAAAGCACCGGAATGCAAAGGCGAAGACAGCCCTGCCCCTCTGCCTCCCCCAGTCTCACCCTGAAGATCTAAAACAAATTCTTTCCTTGGCCATGACTTAAAGACTGACTTTCTGTTTTGTCAACTGAAAACAGGAGTTTCCATCTTAGTAATTTCATTGTTTCTTCTCTCCAAACACACATAGGTTAACTCGCATACAACCAGTCTCATTTGGTAAAGAAGTCAAGTGAGGAGTTTAAATTGCAAGACACTGACTTGGACATCCTAAATCTGTTTTTAGTCCAGTATCCAGCTTTCAGTTCAGTGCAACACACAACATTTACGTCTTTAAAAAAAATTGTATTTTTAGTATTGCCAAAACACACATGCACTTTTACTTTCTCGGGAGAAAATGTGTCTCTTGATTTGTTTCCAACCTGTGTGCTCCTGCCAACAACTAAAATGCCTGAAGAACCAAAATGAATAATCGTTAAGAACATCACAGCAATTAAAGCTGCAGGTTTTCATCAATATATCTATTAATACAAAGACATATTTATCTTGGCCAGGAAAAAGGTGCAAATTCTCAAAATCCTAAGTGTACCTGGCCCACTCAATTATTTGTTTCTCAGTTTCAAGGAGATCTAACATTATGGCAAATATATTATCAACCGTGCATTAGCCTTTTTTCACTTCCAGTAATTTTTGTGGGTTTGATATTGCTTATACTCTCTTCCCAACTGCTGTTACTAAATCCATTCCTTAACTTTCAATTTTCTTTTTTTTGAGTGTCATCAGGCTGCGAAACCGGAGGTCACTGCCAAATCTAGAGCACAGCAGTGTGAGATAGGCTCAAAATGTGAGTCATCGTGTATTTGGAGATTTATTTTTTTTTCAGCTATCAGCAGAGCACATCTCCACTCCCGTGTCCAAGTCCTTATAACAGAATATCTCAGCATTTGCTAAAAGCAGGTCTCTGGGCACCATTATCGAGGTCAACAGATCCCCAGGACGATGGCTGAGCCCACTGCCGTGTGCGTGCCATTCAAGGCACCCTGACCCAGCAATGCCCCGCGATGCCGGCGCGCATTTAAGCTCTGTGGCTATTTGATCGGCCACTGAAGAGGGGACACAGGAAATTATCCACGAGACAATAACAGATAAGCCACCCCGCACTCACCAGATTAATTCCGCACATCTGTTTGTGCCAGTCAGGTTTACATGACAAAACATGCATACTGGCATTGAATTGCTGGGCCCGCGATGGCTGGGGCTCTCCCCAAGCCAGGTTCTAGCACTGCGGCCCCAAAGGACCACGGAGCATCTTACTGGGAGACCCAGCCTCAAGCAGCCCCAATGTATTAACGAAGCACAAAGATGGTTTGCTTCATTATTCCAGAAAACTTTCCCCAAAACGGGCACGTTTCCGCCACCCTTGTTATTTATTCTGCACACTGTCAGAGCAGGGACTGCCTTGTCAGCACGGTAAGAGGCACATGCTATGTGCTGGGGCTGTGGGTGGCTGTGTGTGCAATGTTACTCCACCTAACACCCTAAGCCAAGGGCCGTGGTTTCCTCACAGCCACACACTGGTGTTACGGATGTGCTGGAGGTCTGTTCTATTCCAGAGGACTTCCAGTACATTTAAGACTGCAAAAGCTCCAGGAGTAAAGAGGAAAAAAAAAAAGACTGGGCAGTCGTTTGAATCAGTGAGTGACAGGCTGGGCCAGCTCTCTGTATACATTAATAAATTAGAATTTTAATTGTGTCTCTGACTGCAGGAGCTGCTCCAGTACTTTAATACGTACCAACAATTGGCTGTGTTATGGAATCCGCGATGTGGCCTTCACTGTTGACCTCTGCAACACAATTCCCAGTCTGACTACGGAAACTGTTTGGTTTGATCCTTTCAACTTATTTGAATCCTGACAAATAAGCTCACAGCTGAAAGGTCAACACAGTCATATTTCATCCTCTGGAGCTATTCTTAAGACATCTGCACAACAAAGCACTTCTTTTAGTACCTGACACTGGACCTAGCCAGCGCAATCTCTCATTAAAAATGTCCCCAGTGGAAGAGTCTATTAAAAGGCATATGGATCAGCTATGGATTTACCAAATAAAATATTTTTGAAAGCATTAATGTAACGGTTTGGATTATGGCCCTCTACACTGCCAATAAAACGTATATTTGCCCAATGACAAAATGCTTCATAGTTTCCAAAAGAATAATAGCTCAGCTATAAAGTGTGAGGTGTTGTCCAGCAGCCTGAGCACAGGAGTGGGAGCCAGGAACTCATGAATCTTAATCCTACCCCTAAAACCAATTCCCTCTGCGATCCTAAGCGAGTCACTTTACCTGCTTCCCTCAGTTTCCCCATCCAGAAGTGGGATAATGCTACTTACTTACCAGACTTCCCTTCTGGGGATGTTTTGGAGATCAGTATTTGCAGACTGCTTTGAAGATGAAATCACTACACCAAAGCTAGAAGTTGTCCTTGCTGGACCAAGGGCTGCAGTTAATAGATAATCCTTGCTCAGGCAAAACCTCCCTTAAGTCACGATGAGCTTTATTCAGGTAAGGACTACAGGACCGGGTCCTCTAGCTTGAATGTCAAGGCCTTTCGTGACTTTAGCTCTACCTTCCATCTTCTACTACATATTTAAAGACACTAGGATCTGTATTTTTGGAGGAAAATAATCTGAAGCACATATACAAGGCAAAAGAAGCCGCAATGCTGTCAGGGAACTCATGGTGATAGTATATCAAACTAAAAAAAAAATTAGAAGGAGCAAAACAGACATGAGTTTGACAATGTGCTATGACAACAACTGAAAAAAACATTCGGAAAGAATTTGGGGCTACAGAGGCTGAAGCATCAGATATAGAACAGCAAGATAAGATAAATGTCCCAGCTACAGGGTTTTGTATGACTACAACTGAGCTGCTGTATTCAGTAACTTATTATCAAAAGCACAGTGACACAGTGCATTTGCAAAGAGAGCAATAATAAAAGCAATAACCAGCTGCAAGCCAGAGAAGTGGTCAAGGGTCTAGAAGTGCCGGTTTACGAAACATAAAGAACTAGATACATATAATTTGCCAAAACTGGCAAGTACATGTTAGTATCTCAGATGTTTGAGGAGTGTGAACACGAGGCAAGGCAAGGGACTGACTCAGTATTTATACAAGCAGTATTACTTGGAGCAAGAGGACGGAATTGAAGTGGAAAGTTCCTGAGTGCGTGCTTTGTTATGGAAAACCATCCGAAGGAAAATAATAGCGGTCCCACCACCACTTGGGATTTCTAACACGAGAATAGCAAAAAAAGGAAAATATGATACATGACCTAATAGGTCTTTTTTGTCTTTAACTCCTATGATTTATCCCACAAGACTAGCAGAACGCAGTCCAAAGCCGCGTATGTGTGCATACATCTTCTGTTTGGGAGCACTGTATTGGTTTTAGCTTTCTGAATTCATAACAGCGCAAAGCCTGATAATATTCAGATTTTGCTCATGAAGATGTCCATAAATCAGCAGAAAATAAAAGGGAAAAAACCACACTGATGATATGATATCCTAACATTTTCCCAATATCCTCGACACAGCGAATCAACGGTTTGAGTGAACACAGACTACAAACTGAAAAGCAATCAAACAGAACTGTTAACGCAAATCTCCTATGAGAACTGACACTGTAACAAAAGCTATTCCATTTTGTAATAATCCCTCCCCTACTAGACACTAGGAGAAGTACACACTGCAGATCTGTAAAGACATCATGGGTGGGATTTTCAAGAGCATCTAGCTGCTCCCTCATACATGAGCCACAGCTGCTGTCACTTCCCCTAGAGGAAACTGGTTCAAAACCAAGTGCTCCTGGAAGTCCCATGCCAGCACTCACAGTGAAAGCATCCACTCAGCTTCCATTTGCAGGAGGCCCATGAAGCACGAAGGCCGCCTTACCTGCAGGGCCGGCTGTTTGTCATTCCTCTTCGGAGACTTTAATCCGCTAACTTGCTGCTGCTGCTGCTGTTGTTGCTGCTGTTGCTGCTGCTGCTGCTGTTGTAGTAGAAGTTGCCGTGCTACCTGGAGAGCCTGTGAGGAAAGAGTTTTGAAAACTGAGTTTGCAGCAGAGAGGAGGTGGGCAGTTACCGGCACAGCATTTGGTCAAGACACCCTTTGGGTCACTGAGCACCACAACAGTCCCAAAGCACATCCACCCAGAAAACACTGCAGCACTGAAAACATCTCAGCACCCACACGCAACAAGTGACATCCACCCAATGCATCTCCCATTTTGACCACGGAGAAGAACAGCAGCACCTCAAGTTCAGCTTCTGTGTGGGTATCAGGAGTAACCCCAGAAGTCCCAGCAGTGACACCACTGGGTTACTGACACCCTGCTCCTGGAGCAGCTCACAGCCCTGTGTGCTGCCTAGCAGCCCTGTGTGGCAATGGCTTTCACGCTCGTCTTCTGCAGGATTCCGGGCAGGTTTACACAAGGGCAGTCACGTATCACCACCTGCTCTCCTGAGCAGCACAGAAAGGCAGAGAAATTTCCAGAAAGCTATGGCAGGAGACCTGTGGGAGAGCAGCAAAGGGACGCTGCAGTGTTATGGGATGGAGGGATGAGGACACAGTACCCAAAAGTACCAGCAGTGCATCACTCAGTGGTAGATCTCTGCACAGTTCGTCACAAAGGAAGAGAAAAGCAGTGCCAAGCACAGGAGCCAGCTGCTCTGTGAGGCCCAAGTTCCTCATCAGGTGGGGAAAAAATAGCAAGAGGAGGTGAAACCCAATGGAAAGCAGGAAAAGGAGCAAGTACATCCTCCTCTGGACCGGTGCAAAGGACCAAAAGATGAGGCTGACCCCTGCATGGTGGGCTGTGGCCCAGTCAAGACTCAGCTTGGCAGCCCTTGGCTCCTGCAGGCTCCACCAGCCGGACGCGGGCTTCCTTGGTCTCCTTGGAGACGTTCAGTACATGCGTAGGTGGAAAAGTGGGAAGGCTGAAGACTTCATTAATGTAAAACAAGAAAAATAGTCCCTGTGCAAGATGCCTACATGGAAGGAGGGAAAAAGCCTTCCCCACTCCTACTGTGTACGCTCTCCGAGTGATTTAATTAATACCTATTTAATTAAGGAGTCAGATATGCTTCGTGCATCTCCGAGCTGCCAAGTGCTCCATGGCCATGTGGAGCACAGCGTGGCCCTGAGGATGAGGCGCACACTGCAGGGCCTGCAGGCCTGGAGCCGCCATCCTGCAGCACAGCCCGGCTTCTGGCAGGACGTGGCACCCGGAGCTGCGCTGCCAGAGCACTGACAGTGGCAGGGAGCTGGGGAAAAGACCTCTCCACACTCAGCTACACCGCCTGTCCCAACGTAACGACAAGTCTCCGCTGGATCAGAAAGCCTCTTCCCAACAGAGCCTGGCTTGCAGAAGCTGAAATGGGACTCGGCGTTTCCAGGTGGGCAGCTGATGCTTCGTGCACCCGCAGCACCTCAAACATGGTGCAATAAAAGGCACAAGGAAGCCTTTATGCTGAAAGCACTAAGTGCTGTTAAAAAACGCTATTTCCATTGAATTAGCTTATTTGGCTGTTAAGGCAGCTTCAAGGGTGGGCAGGAAAAAAATGCTACAAAATGTAAAGGGATGGGCAACAAATACTCACCTACTTAACAGGGGTGTTGTATGGCTTATTTAATTAATGAATACTTGTAAAGCACTCTGAGTTGCTCAGACAAGAAGCTCTATACAGCACAAACGCAACATGTTATTATATATTATTAAGACTGGCTCTGCAGAAGAATAATTCCAGGTAAATGTGCAATCAAATGATCATTTTACTTCCCAGTAATTGGATTCAACAGGCCAAAAAAACCACGGAAGCCTTTCTTTAATCATACACCAAACAATCAGAACATCCGTAACCTTTCAAGCTACAGCCTTTTTGAATAAAACATCATCAACTTATAGATATTATTCCAAAAAGAACCAGCCACCATATGTGTTGTCTCTTTGAAATACAGTTGCTATAGCAGACCCTGCATGCATTTCATGTGATATGATCATATTCTATCCGTTCTGGCAGCTGAGAGGTTGCACAACTAAAATTGGCTGCCAGAAATGTTTGAAGATTCCCAGAAACGAGTAGCCGTGCAAGAAATGCCTACTTTCTGCTGGAGCTGGCCAGGCCAGCGTGGATCTCTGCCTGCTGGTGGGGAACTGGGGGAGCACTCAATGCTCTGCCCCACTCCTGTCACGCCCGTACAGCCACGCACCACGCAGGGACAGATGAGGCAGCTGTGAGGAGCGGTGTGGATGGACAGGAGCAGCAAAGGGAGGACGACAGAGGTGTGGGTGAGTGCACAGCTTGGCAGATTGTGGCTTGAAACAGCATTTCCCTCAGCCTTCCTCTCAAGATGCTGCTCATAAATGCTGTTCATAAATAAGCAGCAGTAATAAAAGCTAAGTTAGTGATGAGCTTAGGTTTAAGATGTGGAAGGCTGTTTGCAGCTCAGATCTCATTCTCACCAAACATCTGCGTCAAACTACTGTTCTACAGTGGGATCCCAACTCACTTATCCTTTCTGGATTCTCACTTATCCTTTCTGGATGCTCACTTCTTCTCATCTTGCAACAAGTACACCTACCCCATCCCTTTGAATCCTCATCCACACCCCTTGCACACAATGGGAGGTGTGAAGGACAGCTAGCTCCATTCAAAAAACTGCTTGGCCACACGGCACACCAGTGATGATGCAGAGGGAAATCAATTTGATAATAAAGTCGGTCCCATAACTCTCATCAGCACACAGATTCACGAGCAGGCCTGTACATTAATAAAGCTTCCTGTGGGAGTAGATGTTGCGTTTGATTTGCATGTGAATTCAATGCTAGTGAAAAGTGCCAGACTGTCAGACATGGAGACCGAAGTCTCTTATCTTTCCAAAAGCTTCTGTAGCAGTTTCCCCACATTTCCTTAATCATCTGCCTTGTCCTCAACTTACTGAACAGGCAGTAGAGAGTAAAGCTGGACTCGGTTCAACTCCTGCTGCTGCCAAGTCCCGAAACAAGGGTGCCAGGACTATTTACCGCTAGCCAGCAGCTCTACTAATGTGGTCCTCTCCTCGCGAGCGGGTGCTCTGACATCTCCAAGCTCTTCTCATGCATTCCTCCTGACTGCCATAGCTACCGCCTAAATCTACACGACATGCGTGCACTTCCACAAGTGAACAAGAGCTGGGGCTGCAGTAAATCAGCCCCAACTGGTGCAACAGTGTGCTCGCTAGCAGCCAGCAGGTAGGGACATCAAGAGCACATGATGCCACCCAAGCTCCTGGAGCAAATACACCCAAGCAGGAATCCCAGTCTCCAACAGTTACCACATTGCTTTGGCAACCATCTTCCCCTCCGCACAGCAAACAGAAAATCTCTGCACTTACCGAAGGAAGGGAAAGAAAAGCATCCCCTAACAAGCGCATCTCCTAAGTGCCACAATTCTTGTCTAACTGTGAGACGCAAACAATTTGGGGTAGCTATCAACACAGATCTCAAAAGATGACTGTAGTAAAAGGCTCGCTACCAACCGAGTCATCTTGATTCCGCTCTGTGCTGCGCCTAAACGCAAGATACAGCAAAAGTCCTGAGCTGATTTCTTATCCACTGGAAATCACCAAGAGATAAGGAGATTTTCTTGCGTAAAACAGAACAGTAAGAAGGCAGTTGAAATGTTGCATTTTAGAGACGTTACACAAACTTAGAATGGTATCTGGGATCAAACGCTGGCGGCCACCTAACCCAGGTAAAATGTTAGCGCCAAGCTCCCTGTGAGGTGAATCCAGACTCACTGAACGATGCCACAGATCCGAGTCACAGCACTACTGAGGCAGAAAGCCCCTCTGGACCCTCTCTCGCTGTGCTAAGGGCAGTGGCAGTCCTTTCCTGTTTGCCAGCTAGTGAAGCATTGGGGAAAAAACAAAGTGCACGCCTGAGATGACCAAGACAATTTTATTGCAAGACAGACAGAATGCGACTTGTTTGCCCAGCTGTTGTTTGCCCAGAACATCCGGCACTGTTATCACTGAAGTTAACTGGTGTAATCTGACATTTTCATGCAAGCAATTCAATCTATCTGTTTCACCACCCTCTTAAGGGAAATTTTGCTCTAGGAGTAAGAATGCAGCGCTGCCTCTGCCTTCAACTGACCAGAACATCCTGACTGGGGATGGGAGCTGGGACAGGGAAATACAATGGAAAAAGGGAGTAGAACTTTAGAAAATGTCATATACTTGCTGCATTAGTACATAAGGAAAACAGTAACAAGATCCAGTCCTATGGAGCCTGTTTGCTAACTTGTTCCACCACTGGAGCCAGTACAACAAGGCAGTGACTTCCAAACTGTTTTTCCATCAGCCTATTGAGGAAGAAGACCTCAAGCTCCTCCCTTTCCATCTGCTGGAGCTGATAATAACATCAATCAGCTCTTAATGAATTAAGAAGACCTACAGCTATGAGGGAGCAACTCCAGTGGGAGGAGAAGCTTGTTCCTGCACCTGTGCATGGGAAGGCTGCTGTGGCAAAGGCAGGGAAGCGGAGGACATGAGGAGATGAGTACACATTGGTGCAAGGCAAGCAGGAGATGAGCACCCAGCAGAAGCTGTGTCTGCCATACCCCGCTGCATCCCAGGGTGCTCGACAGCCTCTGCAATGAGGAACCATGCACAAAGAAGTTGCAGGGAGAGCATAAAAAGAAATCCCATGTGTTTTTTCAGATTCCTAAGGATTTTGGGCCTTTCCAGGTGGACAAAGCTGCCCATCAGGAGAGCAACTTGAGAAAGGAGGAAGGAAGCGTTCCCAGAAATGAGAGCCGGTCCCACGGCCATCTGAAGTGTCTAAGCAGTAAATCTGCGATGTTGCTCGCCAGCCAACATCATCGTTATTTCAGTTATGGTCATTAAAACACAAAACACAACACAACAAGAGGAGATGAGACAGAAGATATTCGAAGGCCAAAAACTACCCTTGGAAAAAATGTGCTGGCAGCTCACTGCAGAGTGCAGAAGCGAGGTGCTCCGCACTGCCCCCCCAGAACTGC